ATAGTATATTAATATGTACAACTAAAATTACTAATAAAGATATGAGCAAGGCCTCACCTTAACACTAAAAAAAAAAAGATTTTGATAAGTTATTTTTTAATAGGTTTAATAAATAAGGCTAATTTGATCTAAAGTAAAATTCTAAAAAAAATTTTTTAAAATTAAGAAAATATTAAATGTTTTTTATATTGTTGGTATATATTATAATATTAAGCATTTTAATAAAAAGAATCAAATGATATTTTGAATTTTGAGATTTAAAAGTTTTAAATATTTATATTTGGTTTCTAAAGATCAGTAACTTTTTTAGTTTAAAAAATTATAAATAACTTTGTTCTATTTTTCTAAAGTAATTCTGAGAATAGATTAATAAAGCAAAGTTCATATTCTGAATAAAACTTATTGTAATTATGATCATAATTTATAAGTTTTAATTCAAGATACAAAAATAAGAATTGCCTCACCTTAATACCAAAAAAAAAAATAAATAAAAATAAGAATTATCTAAAGCTGAGTAGTCTAAAGCTAAGTAGTAATTTATGTGTATACAAATTTGTTAGTAACCAATTTAAACTACATAGCTTTAAACAATCTCCAAAAAATCTAAAATCATAAGAATTACATTGATAGTTTTATGTAATTAGATGATTAAATAATTAACGATTTACATTTATTAATTCATGTTATCCAACAAACTCTTATGATCAAGAATTGCCATCTGTCTTATTTTCTTACGTGTTTTCGATGTAATCATGTTTATTCGAATTAAAACCCAGCCAATGACTCCCTACCAATCATGATCATAAATTGCCGGATAACACTAATATCGACCCGATTGGTCAAATTACCGTTATTCTACAATTTTGCCCAATAATGTATACTTATTTTTGTACTTTATTACGTAAGCATAAAAAATCTCGAATTAAACTTGGCAAATCAAAGCCAGTAAAGCATGATTATAATTGAACGATAACTTCAATGTTGGTCATGCGATGTAAATGGGAACCCCACAGCAAAAGGGGTAATAAAAAATTTTATTAAATTTTTATAAAGTTATAAAATAATTTTTGATAATTGCCCCTTTTGCTGTGACTTTTGCTGTGGGGATTCGATGTATGTGATGTTACACGAAGCCAATGTACATTATAGTACACAAAGAAGATATACGAAAATCATTATTTTCAATGAAATTTTAAGTTAAATTGCATATCTTTATTAAGCATTTATTATTAACTAAAAAGTTATTTGTTTATATTATATAAAGCAACTTATGGCTAAATCACCGCATATGACCGAATTGATTAGATAAGTAGAAATGTAATATTCGGGCTTAATCACAAATTTGTGATGATTGTTAAATAATTCGATTAAATGATTGGTTTGATTCTAATATAATAATATAAATATCGGAAAGTTCTATGTATTATCAGCAAAATTACCTCAAGTGGAATATATGAACTGATTTTGTTTATAAAGTGTGCAAAGAAGTATTGTAAATCTATTTCTTTTTCGTTAATGAAATAGATCGAATCTATGTCGTGCCTTTTAAATTATTTCACAATATAAAGGGACAGATATAATTAAAAGCACAAATTTACTATGAAAGTGCGTACATAATAGATAATCAAAAAAAATTTTTTTTTTAAATTATGTTTATATACAATGTTATAAAGTAAAATCATTGTTTTTATTTTATTGTTTCTTTATAAAATTACTATTTCTGGTATTCTCATTCCACTAAATCTGATTCTGTAATTTTTAAGTCCGAAGCGGGTTACACAAAACTATTTATTATAGCCAATTTAAACTATCGTGGCGTTTTCTAGTCTCACAGTATGAGCCGCTTAGAATTGAATGTTAAAATTCGCTGGTTTATGCTGAAATTTGAATTCCTATAGTATAATATTCATTAAATTTCGTATAATCTTTTTTTGACAATTAAAAAAAAATTCAGAATTTCGAAAATTATACATATACGTAATAGGTTAAAATTTCAGTTTCCGCTTTAGTTGCAATGTTATGGATAAATTTGGTTAGTCTGAACGCTCATGCAAGGCGCCAAAACCTTAAATTTAGGTAATTTGTTTACTTTACTTGGCAACCACATTTACAGCATAAATTTTGATGCTAATATACGTACGTACGTATTCTAATATATAATACCTATATGAAACTTTTCGGGTTAGGGTGTCCAAATTAATTTTTTTTAAAAAAACAGTTTCGACAAACATCTTGAATAATTTCGCTAATTATTTCGACAACTAATACTAAATGATTTTTTATTAAGATAAGCAATTTAGACACCCATGTATAGTTAGATTCACATTCACTATTGACATGTATCAGGGGTCCAAAACCTTTTTTTAAAGTTAAATGTTAATGCATAATTTAGGTAACTAGATTTAATTTTGATACCAAATCATCGGATTTTGTGACTGAATTTATTAGCTTAATTTTACAGACACCTTGCAGTAATTAACGAAATTTTTTTGTTTGGAAATGCTCTCAGTAATAAGTTTTCATAAGAGCGATTGAATTGAGACCAATTTGAATATGCGAAAAAATTAGGGTATAAAATTTATTAAAACCCGATTATTATATCAAGATCACAGGTTGTTATTATTTACTAATCTCTGAAATTTTTATTGATTAGAATTATTTGTATCGATTTGCATGTCAAGCGAAATTTCAAAAAAAAATGTCTATTTTTCGTTTATAAGAATCTGACCTCGTTCTCCTGATTGGTTAACGATGTTACTTCATAACCAGGAACAAAGATTTTTGTAGTAGTATTTATTTATTTATTTATTTTAAAAGTAAATATCATCACAGAAAATTATTAGCTTTGTTCATAACTCCTTTACTACTGTATCAATGCCTAAAATTCGAATGTGTGGATTCCACAAATCAGGCAATATTCGTTATTATTTTTGTTATAGTCAGTATTATTCTGTAGAGCTTGCTCTGTAAATTATCTATCTGTTATTTCTAAATTTAGTAGTAGGAACATATTATTATTTAAGGTGAATAGATGAATCAATTCCTAATTACATTAGTAAGGAATTGTTATGTGCTAAACATATATTTAGGCTACATAATAAATTACTATTTAAGCTACGTAACTACGTATAGGGTTTGAGAATTAAATTTAAACTCAGTAGAGAAATAGCCTCCAGTTGTCAATTAATGAAACGATATAACAAACTTATTCATTACCATCCTTAGACGACTGTTAATTGTTGATAATCCCGTACATACTTACACGCTGTGTACATACGTACGAGTATGTGTTGCAGTAATAGCTCTGAAAGTATATCCCGATTACACGAAACAAAAATACTCAAATATTAACAAATATTACTAACAAATCATATTTAAAAGCAGTATACAAAATTAAAACTTTTCTTATTTGGTTTTGAAATTTACGCATCGTAGCAAAACTTTTTGGCGTAATTTTTGATAATAACGCTAAAGGAATTATACGTACATACGTATAAAAGTGGCTTAAAAAGGAAGTCAGAAAAGGAAGCCAGAAAAGGAAACCAGAAACCAAATTAATTTCCTGATCTGTGATACGTAGCGATCAACTTATTATGTACGTACAGTACATATAACCCCCTAAAACAAATAAAACTAAATATTATCATTAATCTCACCATAAAGATAAAAAGATAAATGAATTTAAATTTTTCTTAATACAGTAATATCATATGTACGTACTTGTTACATGAAATGTAAATAGACCTAAATTATTGTTTATTTTCATACTGTCAATATATCTACGTAATAATGCTATTTCATATCAGATTTAAATTAAAATTAAACTTCCCAAAATATAGTTTTGCAAATATTATTGGTAATTGAGGTTGTGCATGTATAGTGGGTGCAAGTATGTATGAGGAATATTAATCGTATTTGTTCTAATTACAGAATTATCTCTTTAATTTGATATATTTACGTATAAGTTATTTTTGATCATATGTTATCTTGAAATCTAATCCGTTGTTTAACGACAGATCTAACATTCAGTTAACTAATAAAGAAAATGTAGATATCCTTTAAGCATTTTGATATAAAAATTTTATATATTTAATGAGATTAAATACTTTAATTCATGCTGATATATATAACATATCTAGTATATGCGTATAACAATAAATTTAGAGTACGTAGTATTAAAAGGTACAATAATAATATGCATAAGGTGCATAATGTCGGATCATTAATTCTAATGTTGGACAACTTTCTTTCAATAAAATTGAAATTTTGTTTCCGATAATAAAATTGTCAATTTAACCTTTTTAAAATTATAAAGATCTTTTTTTGCCCCCCAACATACTACATACGTTTTTTTTTGTTTTGTTACAATATTATATGTGTTAATAAGAATTCTAGAAAACGTAAATATACTCAAATACTGTATTTCATGTAACAATGGAATTTGCTATATTTATTACAATCATTTTTCGATATTAACACAAGGAATAAATCAATAATAAAGCCAGGTACGTACGTACGTACGAACATATGTATGTACGTAGCATTTGTACCGTTGCAATATTTCTTTGAATTCTTTTTTCATTTTTGCTATTGGCTAATACAATTCAATTAAATAATAAATAAATTTTCACTTAATTTTACTTATGCAAGATGTAAATCTTCCTGTCTATTATTGCAAAACAAAGATGGTTTCATAAATTATTATTTACTTGTGGCAGGTGAATTTACTCCTGACGGAAAGTTATATGATATATGCCATTTTCTTTTATATATGCCTTTTTTCTTCCTCATTAATTCATTTGTTGCTTTTTTTTTTGGGTCTCCAACTTCTTGATTGATCATAAAAAAAAAAAAAATGGTTTCTCAAAAAATTTTGACGCTGGTCTATTTTTTGACCTTCCTTTTATTATTTCCAAATCATTCCCTATCTTCGCCAACTCTTGATGAAAGAAATAAAGGTGGCAAAGAAAGAATTTATAACCTTACTATCACTAAAGGTCCTAGTTCTCCTGATGGCTTCAAACGAGATATATATCTCATAAATGGCAGATTTCCTGGTCCTCTTATTGAAGCTGATAAAGATGATACCATTGTAATTAATGTGAAGAATGAATTATGTGAAGATACTACTGTTCATTCTCATGGAATCTTTCAACGTGGTACTCCTTGGTTTGATGGTGTTCCCGGTCAAACTCAATGTGGTATTCCACCCAATGAAACTTTCACTTATAAATATAAAGTTTGTCAAAGTGGAACCTATTGGTAGTAAGTATCTTAAAATACATATATCTATATATATATACGTGATTTTTATTAAATTTTGTCAACATCACTCAATTTTGTCAATTTTGTCAAAAATTAGTCATTCTCACTCAAGAGCTCAATATATTGAAGGATTTGTTGGTCCTCTTGTAATCCATGATCCTGAAGATCCTTATTGTAAAGAATATGATGAAGAAATTATCGTATTATTACAAGATTGGTATCATAACAATTCCAAAACTTTATTAGCTACTTTCTTATCTCCTGAAAGTGAAGGAAATGAACCAATTCCTGATAATGGTTTGATTAATGGAAAGAATTGTTATAATTGTTCTTGGGCTCCAAAGAATAGCGTTTGCGTTAATGATGCTCCATTGGAACAATTCAAATTCGTTCAAGGAAAAAAATATAGAATTAGAATTATTAATACTAGGTAATTTTATTTATTTATTTATTTATTTACAATATAATATCTAATATATAATATCTAATATATTATATCTAATATATTATATCTAATATATTATATCTAATATCTAATATATACCATATATATAATCTATAATATATAATATATAGTGCCTTTTCCGCTTTTATTTTCTCAATCGATGACCATCCTTTGGATGTAATTGAAGTCGAAGGAACAATAACCAAGCGTCATACTGTCCATCGCCTCCCTATCAATATAGCTCAACGTTATTCAGTTATAGTGACAGCTGATAAACCTAAAAAAAAATATTGGATGCGTTCAGAAATGGAAGTCGGTTGTTTCCCTACAAAATCCGATACACTTAATCCTCTTGTAAAAGCTGTTGTCTCTTATGATGGATGTGATGATAAATGTCCTTCTACAACTGCTTGGACTGATAAAGTTGAAGATTGTGTAGATTTAGATTCTAATGATCTAAAACCTTATAAATCTCAACATATTCCTGATTGTACTAAGAATGTTTCAATTGTTGTTGAGTTCCATCCTGATGATAAGAATGTTACTCGAGGTTACATAAACAATTCAACATATAAAATTGATATTAAATATCCTACTCTTAATAAAGTTTTTGATGGTATAACGAAATTTGATGCTGATCAAAATGCTTTCGTAATTGAAAAAAATGAAGTTATAGATATTATTTTAACAAGTATGTTTATTTTTTTATTATTCTTATTGCGTTAATCGAATTATATATTATACATATACACACATATGTATTTAATTAATTATTGAATCAATTAATTAATTACTGGATGACTTAATTAATTACTGAATGAATTAATTAATTACTGAATGAATTAATTAATTACTAAATGCATGAATCAATGAATTAATTAATTACTAAATGCATGAAACAATGAATTAATTAATTACTAAATGCATGAATCAATGAATTAATTAATTAATGAGTTCAATGAATGAATGAATGGATGAATGAACTAATTAATTAATTATCTATTTAGACAAGGATGGTGGTGAACATCCGTTCCATTTGGTATGTATTCTTAATGCTTATAAGTAATTAATAAGCAATTATATAAATAAATTTACTAATTATGTAATTTCTGAAATTAATATTAGCACGGTCATGTATTCTGGGTACTTGGTTCTGGTGGAAATGGCACTAAACTAGATTGTAGTAAATTAAATACCATAGACCCGATACAACGTGATACTACAACTGTTCCTGCTAATGGGTGAGTCAAATTTTTTATTCTTTATCGTTATATATAATTTAAACAATTTAGCAAGCAATATAAAATATATTAAAATTTTATTTTTATTATCAGATGGACCGTTCTCCGATTTGTAGCAAATAATCCTGGTGTATGGGGATTCCATTGTCACATTGAGGTAATTTCATAATAATGATCCTTCAAATTTTTATTATATATCTGTTTCTTTGAATTCTAACATATATTTATATATTCATAGTGGCATGTACAATCTGGCTTAGTTGCTCAATTCGTCGCTCAACCGGATAAAATTAAAAAGTTAAACCCACCTGATGAATGGAAAGCATTATGTCCTAAATGTAAAATATACTAACCATTGTTTAATATATAAAGGATAGATTGGAAACTTTTATAGAGAGGCTTGAAATAAAATAATCAGAAGTTGGATGACATTTTTAAATAATTTTATTAAATTATATATTTAAAAGAAATATTTTCATTCTTTAATATTTCTTTATAAATATTTAAATTGTTTTTACTAACTTACTCGAAAATTGTACCCTTTAATCTTTGATAAAATTAATAGATTTCTTATTTCATAATCATTTTCATTTGTATTTTTTAGGACCCTTTTGTAGTTTTTTGATCTTATTCTTTCAACTGAATATTTAATTTAATTTTCGATTACATGTAATTTTAGTACTTTTCCGTTAGTATATGCCCATTTAATCAATACTAATAAAGAATTCTAGAAATTGTTATTGTTCTTAATCTTGATAATGCTTTCTAAATATCTGAAATATTTTAATAATAAATTTGTAAAAAAAAGTTTGGAATAAATCTTTTTTTGGATTTTATAATAAATTTAACGTTTTTTAACTTTATTATCTTGGCAAACAAATTTTGACATATCTTGATAACTTTAATTTGTATGTATCGGTTTTTTTTTTATGCATATCTTTTTTTTTGATAGTCTTGGCAAAACGAATTTGCATATATATTTATTTATAAATATATTTTTGACAGTCATGACATTATTGAAAATCATAATTTTCTTTTTTTGATAACCTTTTTAAATTATTTTGTACAAACTTGCATATTTAGATGAATTTTACAATCTTGGCAAACTTAATTTTAATTTGTATATTTTTGACAGATCGATACGTATGTATTTGCATATCTACTGTATATACTTTTTTTGATAGTCTTGGCAAACGAATTTGTATATCCTTTTTTTTAAAGTCCATGTATATCTTTTTTTTTTTTAAAGTCTTGGCAAACCTAATTTTGTATATCTGGATACATAATCTTGGCAAATCGAATTTGCATATATAAATATTTTTTTGACGGTAGAATTTTACAGGCTTGGCAAACTTAATTTATATATATTTTTAATAAACAATTTTTTGTTATTTTCTAATCGTTTTAGGTACTGTAATGTCAAACTTTAAATTTTTTTTTTTTTTGAGTCTTGGCAAACATAATTTCCGAGTCTTGGCAAAATATGATTACTCGTAATTTATATATATATATTCCGGTAAATGTAAACATGTTTACTCGGTAAACAAATATTTAAGCAATTAAAAATCGGATATCTAGATTTTAATTGTTTTTAACTTTTAATTTAAAATAATCTACTGCAATATGGGTTATGAATATTGAAGTTGTATTTATAGTAGTTTCTATCTAAAGCAGCCATTTTTTTGGAAGTCCGTACGTTGTAAAAATGGAAAATTCTCTATAGTACAAATACACTACAACACAACACCAATACTAACTAAACTATCTTAATAGTAATAAGGCTTCGATTGAAGTGTGGAAAGACTTGTCCGAGTAACTAGAGTCAATTAAAGCTCTAGATTACGTCACGAGATTTGGTCACTACCGGTAATTCCTATTGCTATATAGATTTTTACTCATCGGGTGATTATTCAGAACGAAGTGGTTTCATTTATATACTTCTTATTTTTATATACGAATCAGTTAATACTGATAATACATATATAGAATGTAATTTAGACATAAATATTAAGAATCCTAACTATCTATCTCTAATATATCTACCATATTTGTTATCCTTAGGTACTACAAATTTTAGAATCTTAAAAATCTCCGTGATCTTGAAATTTTCAGAATAATTGGAATTCATATTACAGTAATTTTCAGGTCGATTCTTATTTTCATAATGTACATATGTACAGTATTGTTTAATATATACAAGAAATAGATCTAATTTTAGAGTTAGAACTATTTGCTATTTCAGATATAATATTTATTACCAAAAAAAGCATGGGTTACTTTTTATTAATTTCTTTTTGTGCTAAAACAGTTTCTAATTTGGTTTAGAATATATTAGTAAATAAATAAAATATGTTTTTAAAATTAGTATATTTAAAAATAAACACTATAATTAAGAGGATTTTTTAATATTTTAAATGCTTCTTGTTGTTTTAGTTCCACTTAAAACTAATATATTTTTTGTAGTTGACTGTTTAAAGACCATACTATAGCTGTAATTCTAAGAATAAATTTTTTGTAATATTATACAAAACTAATAAATACTTTTAACTAGTATAATATACTTAATATAAAATAGGTTTTAATTTATTCTTTTCAGATTGTATTTTTTATCTTTTAATAATATATTCAAAAAAATAAATAACAGATTAAAAAAAATTTATACTTTTTATACATATTGATTCTTAATTCTGCTATAGTCAAGTTATTAAAAACCTTTTTTTAGATATTTCAAATATTCATTAAATATGTATAAACTAATATTAATGTTATTAATATAAACAGTTATAAATTTTCAGATATACTTTTTTAAGACTTAATATATTAACTACTAGAAGGTAGCTGATGTGTTTGAAAGACTAAACATTATAATATTAAATTTATAAGGCTTTTTTTGCATTACAAAAACTGTTTTCTTTTTATTTTTGTTTTTAATTTTTATTTGCTAATATTTATTTTTCAAATAACTAACTTGTAATACTAAAGTTCTTTAATAAATTATTTATACAAAGTAATGAATAAGACTTATTTTTGTTATTATTTTTAACTTTTTTATAATTTATAAACATTGTAACTTTTTATTTTTTTAAATTTACAAATACAGGTAAAGTTTATAAACTATTAAACTTCTAAATTAATATTTATTTATTTATTTGCTATTGTTTTGTATGCTCTTTGTCTTATTGGTTAAGTCTTGTTAGTTTTAATTTAATTAGTTATTATAGTTATTTTAAGTCTTTGTATATTGTTATCCGGCTAAGTCACGTGCCACGTGACACGGCTAATCAAATAAGGGAGACCCGGCTAGAAAAATCAGAATCGTCAGAAAGGACCGAAATGTAGGAAAAGTCCTTTCCGATGATTGGGGCGAAGTAAGTAACGTAGTCGGTAATGGAGGAAACACTAAAGTAGTCGTAATCATTATAGTCTTAGATAACGTTGATATAGACCACGAAAATGTATATAGTAAAATATTCTTATAAATAAAGGCCGTAAAGGCCCTAAGGAGAGACCCGGAAGTACTTTGCTTTATTAAAATAATAACTGGCCCCTTACATCATAATAAATATATAAACGTCTCCTTTGATACATTAACTAATCGCTAAGTCCCCAGACCATAAAAACCCGCTTCTTGTAACTATCTGTTCTAACACATAGTATTGTTACACCCCCATCCGGCTGTTGTATCCTAAAGTACCAGGATCAGCCGTGGTCACTCGAGTCCAACTGTCCGAAGAAGTGTGATAGTTGAGGTTATACGTATAGTCCAATTACCCGAAGTAGTGAGGTAATTGAGGTTTAAAGTTAGTAGACAGCTCAAGCAAGGAAAAGCAAGACAAGTAAAGAAGAGATACTTACCTACGGACCCAACCCACCGACCAAATCTAAACGCCTCTTTTCGACTAAGCCAACCGTAGGTTACACGAGAATTTGGATTGTGGAGCGACTGACTCGCCGTATCGCCCGATTTCAATATTATTTATAAACAAGGTTCTTTTTTAGTAAAAAAAATGTTTTTGTTTTTTTCTTGTTTTTTATTTATTTTTCTATCATTAGATTAGTTTTTTGTACTTTTTCTTTATATTTGTTAAATATTTAGTTGAACTTGTAATTCTTCTTAAGAATTATAGAATAACTTATTTATTTTTTTAATAGTTTTTTCTATATAATAGTTTTTTATTATAACTAATTTCTTCTTATAAGTGTATTTATCAAATATATTATTATTATTATATTTGATTAGTTATTTTCTTTTAAAACTTCCAATTTTTTTAAAAAAAATATTAAGAGAAGTATTTGTGACTCAGAATTTTATTAATAGTATATTTAGCTAATAGTTGCATTATAACTACAAAAGGCAATTATAAAAAGAGTATATAGCTAGCTATTTATATAACATTAGTTATTGTCTACTTTAAATAGTCTATTCAAAGGTTTTATACTAGCTGCTATATCTGAAATTTGCTTGTAAGCTTTCTATTTAAACATTTTAGCTCTTATATCTATCAGTCTACTTATACTTATTAACAATTCTGACCAATATTAATAAAAATATGTTATAATTACTAAGTCTTTAAGGCAGTTCATTTATATAAAAATATTTTAACTTTGTACTAATACTAGTCAAATATAAGAAAATCGACTGCTGATTAAGATGGCCAATTTGGTCTGAACTCAACTGTTGATTATTGGCTGATTTTATACTGAATAACAAGTCAAAATCAGTAGTTAATTGACAGTTGATTGCTAATAACATTTAGTATAAATTCAGTTAATTAATTGACAATCAAGTTCAGGCTAAATCAGTTATTTTAATCAACAGTTGAATAATATAATAAATCAACTTATAATTGGCAGTTGATTACTAATAACATTTAGCTCAAATATGAAAATTTGACATCCAAATTCTGGGTAAATCTTAATTTGCTCAGAATTTAGATGTCAAATTTTAAAAGCAAAATTTATACTAAATATATATTATTATATATATAATTAAAACTAGTTTATTAAAAACATTCGAAATTTGCTACTAATTATATATTTTTATTAGCAAAATAAAATAAAAAAATAGATACAAAATTTATAAAAAAGATTTTTCTAAAAAAAGATTAAACCCTTCATTTTTTTTGTTATTCCTCTATGAAATCAGAAGTCAGTCTTTTACTAATTCTTTTTTTATGTATTCATATGTCTTTACTATCATTACTATCTTCATTTTCATAGTCTCTTTTTTAACTACTACTTTCCTTCTCTTCTTTCTCTTCTTCTTCCTCTTCTTCTTCTTCTTCTTTCTTCTTATTCTTATCCTCATCTTCATTACTATAATTATTTTCATCATCTTTATTTTTATTTACT